CTTAATTTCATGTACTTTAACCATCAAACGCTACCTCAAAGCTGCTTACACTTGAAAATCAAACAAAAGCGGCAATATGAAACTTGAAACATGTTGTAAATGCTCTAAAAGTATAACCATATTTGATTATCCTAGTATAGATAGATATAAAGGTATCAATACAACCACTCAAAACATTAGATCCAACTAAGCCAGTATAAAACTGACCCCTCCCAACCACCAAAGTATGCTTGTTTAAATGCTTCAGTTTAAAAGAAAATCTGTGTTGCAGTGGGAATTAAGTACATTATTGTCATTTAGATAGAGATCTCAATTCGAAAAGTTTCGAGAGTTCCTACGAACAGGCGTCAATGTTTAACCGTGAGTTTTTTTTGTTTATTTAAGCATCAGCTGTTCTAGAATTATTTGATTTCATTGTTTTTAGAAAAACGAAAAGTCTTGTCGTTCCGCGTGATTGCCGGCGCCACTCATTGCAAACATCTTATGGTTGGTTCTTAAAATTCTAAAGGCATTACATTACTTTAAGTTCAGCTAAGTGTAAAATGACGATAGTAGCTGAACTTAAGGTTGCTTCTTGATCCAAATTTCTTTTTTAGAAAGAACTCCAACGTACCACTCACGAGAAACAAATGCTGGGCGAACGGTTGACGGAATTGCACAAAAATCATAAGGTTTATTTTTAATTTTGTCAAGAATCTAAAATTTTTAAGTTAATTCACCGAATTTTTTTATTTTAGGAGCTCTTCAAATGCAACACACGCTGATGGCATCAGGCCGTGTTGCATCAGGCGTGATGCAACACGGCAAAATGGAGAGAGATTTCAACCGAAACACAAAGAATATTAAAGTTTTATCGCTTTGTTTTGTATTTACGGGTATGTTTTGTGAATAGCTTTTGATTGAAATAATAAAATGTTTTGCTTAAAGATATTTCTGGGAATTCTTGTTTTATTGCAATTATTTACTTCCAAACAAGGGTTTTGAGGATTTTATGTGGATGAAGTTGGGCTACACAACTTTACATTGCACGCTGAGAATGGAAAGAGGGAATGAAGGGTTTTTGAAGAATAACAAGGATGTAAAACAGGGTCAAAAACAATTTAGAAACTTTTCACGACGTGTTTTCTTTGACTTTACCTTCTGATATGTTCTACTTCCACAAATTAATTTATTTGTTTCATTTCAGGATCGCTTCCGCATCAAGATGGCCACCGATTCGGCTCTCATCGAGATGGCGTTGACGCTGGTGCGTGATTTGAAGCGAAATGATGACATCATCCCACCATACCAAGGAGATCGCGTGAAAGATTGCATCAACGGGATCAACTCCCTCTACACAATCACCTTCAATCAAGTGCAACAAATTCGCGCAGGCACGTCGAATCCCGAAAACTCGCAACGAATCACCACGGAAAGCGCCGCTCGATCGAAAGCCATTCAATTCGTTTACCGTTGCTTGATCGCCTACCAAAACGAACGCTTGAAGAGGATCAAAGGGTTGCGGTGGCAATTCGGCGGCGTTATTCCGCCCGTCATCAAAGCAAATCTAAACGACACGGAGCTCGGGTTCTTCAACGAGTACTGCACAACGTTAGCCGATTTCCAGTCGAGTTTCGGTAACTCGGGAGTGAATTTATTGGCGTGCACAAAGCCGCCAAAAGAGTTGTACATGCAGGTGCGAGTGTTGAGCGATTACGGGGAATTCGAGACTTCTGATGGGAATGTGGTCACATTGACGAGCTCGTCTCTTCACAATATGCTAGCCCACGACTGCGAGATGTTAATCAGAAAAGGTGTGCTCGAGCCGATGTAAATGATCAATTTTGAAAGTTTAGGAATCATTTGTGAGTTGCGTTCTTTACTTTACTGAATCTTATAAGTCATCCGGTATTTTTTCCAAATTCATCTAACTAATTCCAGTGAAAGATTCTATTGTTGTGTCGAGTTTTGAAATTTTTTAGGTTTATTTTTTCTTTTTCGAGTGTTTGATATAAATTTTTATGTCGCCGAAAAAGAAAAATGGCAGCACAACCAATAATCAAATGCACGATAAGGCCAGTTTTTTTCCAGTTATCAGCTTTACAGGTACATATCGAACTACAATATTATTGTACTATTTGTGGATCTACAAGAGTTTACGATACTTGAAGTAGTCAAAAATAATATTGATTCACGTATAACAAGCCTTCGATCTGACTCGGGTAACTCTATGCAGCTCTCAAAATTCTGTATTTGTTCTACTTAATGGCTGAACGAACACTTTGGATATGTGAAAAAGTAGCCCTTCCCCCACTCAAAAGTGCCTCTTTTATTCGGGGCTAATCTTTGGTGTGCTTTTTTTCCTCAAACGACGAGAAAACGCAATTCTCGTCGTTCCTTTTGAGTCTGAAGAAAGAGCTTTAGAAAAATCAACTTTTCTCGGATTTCCTCTAGATGAAGATATTCTAGATTTTTCATTTGAACGAGAAATTCGTATTTCTTTAATGGAAACACATTACACTTATCGAAGTGAGTTCGGTTTTTGCTTTGATTAATAGAAGATGAGTCATTCAGCCATTTTAATGAGTTTTTGCAAAAGCCTCGATTGGATTTTTATTCTTATCCAAATGTTTACTCACTGCGTTTTTGCTTAGCTGGAATCTTGAATTTTTATTCCAAAGTATTCAAGCTGAATACTCAAAATCTGGATCAAATTTAATAGTATCTGACATTTTAAAGCTATAGTAGGAATTGTTTTTTGCGGTCCCATTCAAAAATGAAACGCTACGGAGCAGTTTCCATTCGATCGGCGATGAATTCAGCTGGTTATTAACTTTTTTTTTGAAATTAGCATTCATTTTTATAGATGACATCGATCCGGCTAGCTTGCGATCTCACCTCATCTCTGGGTTAACGGTAAATTTGAAGCTTTCCAGTGAAATGTATTCATTTCCAGATTCTTCCTTCACTGTTCGCTTGTCTATTGGGCGTTTTTGCGGCAACATTGCTCGTCATGGCTTCAAGTAAGTGAAATTACCTGGAATAGGTAGAACCTACCGTAAATACTGTAATAGTACCCCACCCCCATAATGACGGTGCGGAGTGTTGTGTAGTCTAGCTTTGGCGCGTTTTTCTTGACACTCGTTTATGCTATAATGCGCGCTTAGTTATCAAAAAATAGCCCTGAATTTCAGCTATTTTTGATACCAAAGACGCATTTTTGGGAGTACAAGTGCTTTGAAAAGAATGAAATCCTAAAAAAAAAAAGCGACTACGCGACTGTATGAGGAGGGTGGGGTACTTATTACAGTATTTACGGTAGGTGCCGGTCTATTGGCTCTAACCCATACAATTAATTTGCAAATTAATGCAAATTAATCTTATGGCTTTTTACACCTAGTAAATAGTCTTTAGTCTTTAGGTCTTTAGAATAGACTTCTGACAGTGAGAACCAAAGCTTGATCAATTTCTCTTTCAGCGTTGAGCGCGCCTGCGTTTACCGATCCACTCGTTGATGGGTTTCGCGGCGATGATCGATTTCGTTGTTTGTGTGTATTTGGTGGGAAAAAAAATGGCAAGGAAAATTATTTTAAAAGTTTTTAGGTACAAGTCCAAATCATGGTGTTAAACGGATGGCACAACGTTCCACAGAAAACCTGTTTCCCTCGGCTCACTACACGGTTTAGCGGCTTTGAATGCACAGGTATTCGAGTAGAAGAATCATAAAGTAAATGAAGCAAATTTTTTACTTGAAACGGAAAGCTAAGAATTCGAAAAAGGTCAACATTTTGGATAACATTAAAAGGAAATTCGCGAAAAATTTCCACCATAATCCTTTTCACTTAGCTACTATTGAATAGTTTTGCTAAAAATAGACAGGCGTACTGTTGGCGATGTCAATCGAGAGGTTTTACTCTGCCGGATTGAAGAAAAGCGTTGGGTAAGTAAGTCGGCTAAAGTTCAGTAAATACTCCATTTTCAGAGCTAAGAAAATTTCAAAAAACTCGTTTCCCAAATGGCCTTTCATCCTTTTCACTCTCATTTTCTCATCACTTCTTACGACAATTGGTTGGGTGATCCCAATCGGATCCGAGCTAGTCATCTCTTGCTTCTCAAGTTCATCATATGGAAATGAAAAGTTGGTTTTTTCAAAAATGTTTTGAAAAAAAAACTTCCAGTGCTCGACTAACTTGGTTGATCTCATTTGATCGGGATTCTTTCGTCGGTGATTTTCTTGCTGTGCCAACGATATCGACGTCTTTCTAATCAAGCAACAAGTTGGGCACAAAGAAAGTCTATTCAAAGTCGATTTCAGACACTGGCGCAATCTCTTTGTCTCTTCTCCGCTCACTCACAATTATCTCCATATTTTCATTGACTTCTTGGGTTCTTTATAGTTTGGGATCAGTTGAGTCAAATGGTGAGTTTGAAAATTCTTCAATACAAAAAATTTAGCTTTCTAATTTCCCCACCACAAGCGGAGTTGCATTTGTCTTGGCCTCTGCTATTGCTTTCTACAGTAAAAGCCCGTTACCCCTATTCACCGCTGAGCGAAAATATCGAAGGGCCATGTTATTGTTTCTTACATGTGGATGGTGAAAAACCAGCTCAAGTCAAGCTCTTACAAACAAATTTCAGGAGAGGAGAGCTGGATGGAAGATTGGCCACGAGACAAGGCGGAATATCTGGCACCGGATTTTTGGCTCTCGCCGCAGCTACAGCTCGTGCCGGATCGACGACAATGGATTTTTAAATTATGCACTCAAACATTGTTTTTCATTCTAATCTGATACAATTTATTTGATCACAAAATTTGTTAAATCAAACACACCCGCAATACAAAAGTTTAAAGTACAGAATAACGGACCCGTATGAAAATATTTGGTCGAGAAATTCATAGATTTTTGAAAAGATTATCGTTCTGCCGCTGAGTCCAAGCTGTTCGATGGTGACGAGACAACGGGGATTCCAGTATGATACGACCGAGGCGCCAGGTGAGATGACGAAGCTTTGCTCGGCTACGTGCGAACGCCATTCCATCCCTCAACATGCGCAATCTAGACCAAAGTTATTGAACTTTAATTTACCTAGATCCATACCTCTCCCCGTCATTTGCTTTTGGTTTTCGTTGTTCGGCGTCAAACATGTAGTCGCTGAGGGATCGATGAAGTAGCGATCAATTTCACCGTCAGTCACCATCCACAAGCATCCGACAACGCAGGGACTATCGGCGCAATGAAGTAGTCGGTAAATTGAAGATCGTCCATCTAGTCCTGGGCCTTCCGGGTGTAATTGCAACACTAAAACTAGATTCTAGACAGCTAAAATTTAGACAATCACCTTGAACACCCCATAAGAAATCCCACAGCTTGACATCCACTTTTTCGCACGGCCGTCCGTCCAAAATATTTTGATCCAGATCCATGACCGAAGTAACTAAAGTTTAAATGAAAAAGTAATAAGTAGGAAACCTTACACATAAATGTCATTGGCCGACAGCATTTTCTTGAAGTTCTCGGGCTCTGGTACACGTCCAACGATCCCTGTCCATCCGAGTTTTGCCATGTGGTCACACATTCGTTTTTCGTATCGTCGAGATTGTTGTCTGGATCGCAGATGAACACTCCTCTTGCCGGATTAATCGGGCGTGGAATCTGACAAAGAGAATTAAAAGGATGCGTTGGCAAAACATACCGAGTAGTTTTTCTTCTCGAAAATTTCCAATAACTTGTGAACCGAGCCGAATCGTCCAATGTAGGGATTCTTTTCAAAGATCGGAAGACTCTCCCAGGGTATTATCGAAAGCTCCTAAAAATCAAATTTTATTAAATAATCTACTTCGAAACTACCGGCGATGTTACAATCATTGTGTAGCGTGGAAACGAGTAAAGCGACATCGCTTGCCGCCTTTTTGAGTTGGACATAGAAGTCCGAGTTTGTCCGCGAAACTTTTGCTGCCTCGGCTGATCCAAGCTCACCGTTCAACTCGCAAAGGCTGGAATCAATGGTTTCCCGATGAAGCGTCTCGTATTCTTCATGGCTTCCCGTTGCAAAAGTGACACAAGTTCCGTCGCAATGTAGGATGAAAAGACCCCTGTTCGTTTGCGCTTTTGTAGTTAACGATTGGATCCTGGAAGTAAAAAGTAGAAGTATTTTACAAAAAAAAAACTACATCTTAGCCGCTTTCCGGCCTTCTGGCCCTAGAGTTGCGCTCGGTCGAACAATTGAATACTGTGGCAACAGAGGTTGGTTTTGAACTTTGGCACAGAAAGCCTAAAAGAGATTGAATCATTTCTTTATCCAAATACATACCCTAAGCGAATCGTCAACTCGTCTACGCTCTTTCCAAAAATACTTGCTGTCGGTGGTGACTTTTTGCCAAATTACCTAAAATTATATTATCATTTTACCATGGATAAAGTATGTACCGGTCGTATCGTTATCTCGCATGATTGTTGTCATGTCTTTGATGAACTCGTCAAGCTAAATTTTAGAATGATAACTAGCAAATAAAAACTGATTACTTTATCTTTCGATGCGATTGGCACAATAACTGGAGGACGGCTACAATGAAGCTTGACAACGACGAAATCACCGCCGTTATTGAGCACGAGTTGAGCACGGTGATGTCTTCTGGCAAGCTTCTCAACTTTTGCTTGAAATTGCGAAGCACTTCGAAATTCCTCTCCAAAATCTCGTCCAATGGCTCGAGCAGCTTGTCGCGTAGCAAGAAGACACATCTCGGCGCTCATCATCGCACTTTCCCAAGGATAGATTGACAACTAAAACCAAAAATTACACAACTAATTCGCGAATAAATAACCTGTGCAATCATTGAGCATATCGGTAATCTCCAGTCACGATACATCAAGTGTTTATGGAGTGCATATTGTTTCCGCGCATCTTCCACTGCTTTCTCTCTTTTCGCTGCCAGTTCGCCGTCTTCTGTCGTCTTTGGATTTTGCTTGCAATATCTTCTTCTTCGCTTTTTCTTAAAATATATAATTTAGTATTTAAAAATATATCACAACCGCAAGCATCCAAGAATAGCAAAGTGGTGGGGCATGCAGGCCGTGATGCTTGTGCCAAAGCCAGGAATTCAGCTTGAAGAAAAGAACTTGCGTACTTATAGATCTCAACAAATTGATAAAACAGAAGTTCCTAAATTTGTTACTTTTTTGGTCCATTCACTAACAGTGGTAATAACCGGAAGTCCCGGCCCGAGGTGCCCGATATCCGTCATTGTAGCGTAGCCACTGAATCATCACAAGTATCCACAGCATTGACATAAGCAAGGGGGTCTCTAAAAAAATCTTAAACTTTAGCGTTTATACAAATGAACTAACTGGTTTGGGGAGATTTCCTAATAGTTGCTGCTGAGTAGGCGTATTCAAAGAACGAAGTTGTGTGAAAGCCTCACACAATCCTTGAACAGCAACTTCATTAGTAGGAAAACCATCGTAGGCAAAAGCAAGATATGCCACTAAAATGCATGTACATTAGCAAAATTTTTTTTGGAAAACCTCAAAGCGGTAAACTGGATCAAATCGAGAAATTGCACAATTTGAACATGAACAAGTCTCAGCATACAAATGTAGAATGGGATTTGATGTGTCACTAAAACAAAACTTTTTGAGAAAACTTTACAAAACTTACTCTTCGTTTATACACAACTCAGAGGAAAGTGTCAGTCAGAGCACCTATCGTCATATCGGCAACTCCTTGTTTGGTGGTTTTCATCTCGCCTTCTGGTTGGACCACAGAATCCTAAATTCTCGGACTCCAATACGAAACTTCAATTTAACACCCAACACTATACAGATGTTGGAGCATTTTGCGCATGTTTGGACTTGGCTGTGTGAATCGTAGAATGAAGCGAAACCCAGAACATCAGGGATGAAGCTCGAACAATACTAAAGAAACGATACGTGTGTTAGAGGCAAAAAGGGCTTACTTTGAATGCAGTCCAAGTCTGAGTGAGGCGATCCAATACTTCAATGACGCATAGCACGCTTCCCTGGTTTGTCCGGATTTGAACATTTCAAGCACGTATTGATGGACAAAGTAGAAATGCTCGGCAACGCGAAGTGAAACTTTTACTAAATTAATACAATAAGAGTTATCAGAAATGCTACTTACATATGTGTCCAGAATCTTTGCCTTCGGTATCGAACAAAGGAAGCTCATAATTCGCAGAGCTGTCGACCAACAAGTTTCGAAGCCATGTTCTTCACGATGACCTCACTAGAGTGCAACATTTGCTCGAGGTGGACTAATCCATCTTTGGCTTTATATCGGGAGTACCATCATCTTTTACCTAAAGTTAATTATTTAAACACTGAAAGGGAGAGAAACCCTCGACGTTGCAATTTGTAGGCATTCGCAAGGCAGCTGTTGATTAACGCCATCAGTTCATAGTTTGCATACGTCTTCTCATCTTTCCTTTCCTCGGTATTCGTAGAGTTGCTGGATCGAATGCTCTAGTAAACTGGTAAAACCTTGCTGAAAGAAAAACATACTCGAAATTTTGCTTCCCCACGTGAAACACCTTGATTTGCCGACAAATACTGGCAGAATTGGCTGTGTTCAATGAATTTATCCCGTGTGAACATAAGTTATTCTAATAAAATATTCCAAAACAATGTATTGAATCCAAACCCTTTCATCGTAGAACCCATCTAACACTTCCCATTCCCAGCAAGCAAGACGCACCACTTCTGATAAGCACATTCGATGTCTAGATCTTTTTCGAAGATTGTTAAGATGTCCTTCAGCATCAGTAACCCTTTGTAGTGCTAAAATCCATTTATTCGAGATCTTAACCAAAACACACATGTCCGCTCAAAAAAAGGGCAGCCGCCAAATTCGAAGCTGCTTGTTGTATGGCGCACGTGCTTGAGTTGAGGCTTGCAACAGCAATGGTTGAATCCTGGTGATGTACAAAGTGTAGGCCCGCTAAAAATTTGAAGTTTAAGGATAGCAAATCGATAGTACCATTAGTGCTGCGTGTGGATTCGATTCTTGATTGGCAAACGCATATTGATGAGTTACTAAAACGTACGGCGCCAAGTCGCTCTGCTCGATCTCTTTCCCACAAGCTCGTAATACATCACACATCTGAATCAGACTTTTATAAAATGCAAAAAATTGAATAACTTTTCGTTGAACGAAGAAAAGCTGTCCAGTAAATGCTCGAAAATGTTGATTCAATTGTTCGTACAACTTCTGCGATCCAACTTGGCTGACGGAAGTGGTGGCCGTTGATGGTGGGTCTTCGTCAAATTGCAGCAACTTTCGAGCAGGCGTCTTTTCATTCCTTTTCTCCTTCTTTGATGCTAAAATTAAAGATTTGGACGTTATCAGGGCTATTTTAAACAAAACTACTAAGCATAATGACAACCGCCTTTGGTTTAGCTCTTTGGTGGTGAAGTTAGCAGGTCGTGCAAGCGAGCTGGCGAGATAGCCCTCAACGGCGATTTTTCCCGAGCTCTAAACAAAAACAAATGATGTTAAGAACCAAAAACAAACTTTCTAACAGGGTGTCCAGAGGAATTGAAGCCATCAAGATGAACTTGAAGTGCCTGAAATCAAAGAATTGCTCGAGTCGCGGCCAAAAGAAAGCGTTGCGAGTAAAGAAGTGCACCCGGCGAGAACAAACAGGTTAGGGGCACCGTGATCAACGTTGGGTAAAACAATAGACTACTAGCTTATTTGAATTGGCAGTTTTCAAAACTGAAAATATCCAAAACCCTTCATTTCGGGCAATAACTGAACAGTATTGAGTCCAATCACAGCTTTATCTAACGATTTAATCTCGAATCGAACGAACCATCAGAGAAACAAAAACAAAGAAAAAGCTACAGAATTCTTGTTTTGACAAAAAGCAAGAAATGTGATCTTTAGTTTCACATTACAATTCAAATCTTGATCGTTCTTTGTTATTCGGCTGGTAACTGCGCCAATGATTTGAATAGGACCTGGGGCAGGGCAAAGGGTAAATGGTAAATAGAGTTACTCTGTTTCACGCCATAGCGAGAAAACAAGATACAAGAACACCTGGGAATTGAATGAGGGCTGCACAAGAATATTGATCAAATTGCTACCAACAACGCGAAGATACCAATACATTAAAATCGACATACCCAGATAGGTAGATAATGAATAAAATGTGCTAGAGCCACCAATCGCGTAATCCGAGAGAATGAGAAATAGTCTATTTACAAACTTAAATAGCGGCAATTGCCAATGTTTCAATATTCGGCTTTTCAATTGAATATCTAGTCGTAAAAATAAATTTATTTGACATGTACAACATGTTGATTGCTTTTTCACCACCTGTTGATTTTGCGTTGCTGGTTGAATTGAGCGGTGAACACGTTGTCTTGAGCGGGGAAAACTGGAAATTGATTCGATTTATGATTGCAGCAGGCTTTGATCAAGGTTTAAAAGCTTAAGTTTAAACTTTACCTGATTGCTCGTTGAGATTCTGGTTGGCTTGTAGACCTTGATGTTGGGAATATGGGGGCACGCTCATCGCACGATTGCCGAGATCCGTCGGTGTGGTCAAACTGGAATTGTTTTCGTTGTTAAAGTACGGTTCCAACTAAAACTTATAGCGGCTGATAAAAACTTGGTTTTTAAGTTACTTATCGTATTGTAGTTAGTCAATGCTACTTGAATTAGAATTGGGTCTAGAAGTACTGTAGATAAATCCAAGTATGAAATGTGTAGAACAGTAAACTGGGGCTCCTTGTACAATACATTGTTGTTTGTAAGCTAGATCTTATTATACTGTACTTACAATACAATAATGTTTGTAGATATGAGATAAGAGAGAAGTTTTAGCAAAGATACCCATAATTTTCCGAATGATTGTGTGGCGATCGAGGAACGATTTGAGATGATTGGAAAGTTGCTGAAAACGAGCTTTTGAAAATGTTTCATTAAAATGACTACTGTAAATACTACGTACAGTCATGTAAATACAGGCGTACAGTCGCGTAGTCGCAAAAGTTTTTTATTATTTCATTTTTTTCAAAGCGTCCGTATTTTCAAAAAATAGCCTTGAATTTCAGCTATTTTTTTATACCTAAGTACGCATTGTAGCATGAGCCAGTGTCGAGAAAAACGCGTTCAAAGCTAGACTACGCAACACTCCGCACAGTCATTATGAGGGTGGGGTACTATTACAGTAATTACGGTATCTATAAGGATAGGTTTCAACTTTTCCAAACTCACGCATAACATTATTCGTGGCCATAATAGTCGGCGTGTCGGTGCCAGCAATATTGATATTGCTGAGAGACATTGATCCGGGAGAGAGCCCGGTCGGCGCTGTGGCTCCACCAATGCATACCGATGTTGAACGGCCAAGTGGGGAGAAGGATCCTTGCTGAAATTGGGGTATTTTAAAACTGAATGGCAATTAGGGTAAGTCATGGATTGACTGAAGGGCTACTATAAATCAATTTCCAGTCAAAGCTGATAAAATGCTCCTTTTGACTATCACGCTTTCTCAAAAGGTCAACTTTCGAAACTATCGTAACCCCTGAAGCTAGTTTACAAAAGTTAGCATATTTTAGAAAACTGGTTAATGACAGAAAACGGTACCGTAGCCCTTTAGCCAGCGTAACCCTATTTTAACCAGCTACAGTAACCCTTTAGATTTAGAGTAATCTTTTCCAGTACCTGAAAGTGATGTCCATGCGCTGTCTGCCATTGCTCCACTTGTTCCGAGGCTCCAATCGGTCGAAACACGTTCTCCGAGATTCCAAGCTTGATCTCGGCTTCCTCCTGAGAAGTCCCGGCTTCTTCCTTTTTATACCATAAATACTCAGAATAGAAGTCCCTATAGGAGTGTCGCGTAGTCAAAGTTTCCTCTCAAACAAACGCTCATATCTTGGCACCAGTTCGTTGCTTTCGCTCGCTTTGTTATCAAATTAAAGTAGTGAGAATGGGTGTTTTTTTTTGAGATATCACACATATTTCTAGCATTAACCAGTGCTTAGAAAAAAGTGATTGAAAAATGATGAAAAATTGGCTTAGGGGTTGTATTGTTTATTACCAAATTATTCGGGGTGGGAGGCAAATGCCCCTTTTTTTACGCACCTGGACATTTGCGCACCTTTTTTGCTGGAAAAGGCCTTGGCAAGGCCGTAGAGCTGAAAATATTTCGAAAATTTTTCCATATTTAAGGGTATGCGTAGACTTAAATTTCGACAAACCGGACCTGCTGAAACGATTCAAATTTGGGCTAAAAAGGCAAAAACTGCGGAAAGCGTTAGGTTGCGTAGTTTTTGCCTTTTAAACTAAATTTGACGTGTCAGGGAGGTCTGATTTGTCGAAATTCGGAATCTACGCAACGATTCCTAATAGGGGAATATTTTCGAAGCTCTACGGCCTTTCCTAAGGCTTCCAGCAAAAAAAGGTGCGCAAATGTCCTGGTGCGCAAAAAAAAGGTCGATTTGTCCCACCCCAATCTATTCGTGAGTAAATGTATTTTTATAAGCTACAGTATCCCTATCTATAAAAGACAAGTTTCTTCTACTATAATAGAAAGCCTACGGTATCCTATAGCTATTATCTAGAATTCTTAGATTATCTACTAAATTAGTATTTAAGCTCGATTAGCTCGTTTGTTTCTGCGCGTTTGAGTATCAAATTAAAGTAGAAAGGATGAGTGATTTTTTGAGAGATATAAAATATATTTTTAACATTAAGCAGCATTAAGCAGCGCTTAGGAAAAAAAGTGGGATTGAAAAATGACAAAAAAAAGTCGATTCTTTCTCATTTTCTTTTGATCCCTTGACAAAATTTGTTTTCTTTTTTCTGATTTTTGATCCCGAAACCTCTCAGTTTCCAAGGTTTTCTTTTGTATTTTCCCCTAAATAGCTCATTCAAACGTGCGGAAAAAAGTGCTTCAAAATGCGGAGTTCAAAAATTAAAAATTAGCTCATTGTTTAAAAAGTTGAGGACACCTGAAACTAAAATTAGCTAAATTTTTTGAAACCAAGTGGATATGGAGATTTGAAATTCTCTAGTTACTGTAGTTGCAAGCAGTACTCAAGTACAATTACATTGTATTGTTTACAATTACATTGTAATGCTTACAATTACATTGTACTGCTTACCAATTACATTGTAATGTTTACAATTACATTGTAATGCTTACAATTACATTTACAGTACAAATTAGTACTTTAGTACAGTATTTTATCCGCTTTTTAGAGAACGTTTAGAAAGATCCTTTAACTGAATATTTTAAGAGCTCATTTAGATATTTCAGCTAATCGAGAGCTCTTTGAGGCACTCCAAGCACTCTAATGTAGTGAATTAGCACAGAATAACTACAATCGCAAAGCTTAAAATCCGTACTGAAAACTTGACAAAACATTTTTATCCTATCCTTTCTCATTCCTCGAACCTGTGCGCCAAAGCGGCCAATTGCCGTTCTCGTTTGTACCGACGGCGATGAGATCGGTTTCGCCTGATTTCCCATTGTGATGCTTCAGAATGTGTTCCTAAAAAGTTCTTCTTAGAAATGGCATAAGTATTTTTATTCTCTTACAAGTTATTAATACAACAGAGTAAATCTGAAGCTTTCAAAAGTTAAAGCTTAGACTAGCTAAAGCCAAGCTAAATAAAACCGCTAGCTAAATCTAAGCTGTAAGCTAGCTAAATCTCGGTTAAGCTAGCTAAAGCTAAGCTAAGCTAGCGAAGCTAAGCTGGCTGTTCAAGCTAAAGCCAAGCCAAGCTTAGCTAAAGCTTGTGCTTAGCTAAAGCTGGGCTTAAGCTAGCTAGTTAAGCTAAGCTAGCTAGTTGCTAAGCTAGCTAAAGGCTAAGTGCTGGCTAAAAGTTTTGCCAAGCCACAGCTGAAGCTAAGCTAGCAAAGCTAAGCTCTAAAGCTAGCGCTAAAGCTAAGCTAGCTAAAGGCAAAGCTAGCTAAAAGCTAAGCTAGCTAAAGCTATTAAGCAAACTAAAGCTCACCACCTTCTTAACTTGTCTCTCCTCGACGAGGCGGTAGTCGCAAATATCACACTTGAACGGTTTCTCATCCAAATGAATCCGCTCGTGTCTCACCCAAAATGGGATTTCTCGATGAACCCACGATTGCAAATCTGTAAATGTAGACAGCAAGAGTTTTGATAACTTATTCTTTCAAACCTTGCAAGTGTGAGCTCTCACAGCTAAATGCGTCCGCAAATGGGCGGCAAGTTGACTCTTCTTTGGGGAACTGAATTCATTTTCATTTTCAAATAATAAAGTTTTTTTTAAAAACCTATAATCACATCCCCCAATATGACAAAGAGAAAACATCGCCATTGTTCCTTTGTTGAGTCAGGGGCGATCGGCGGATTTCGACGAGAAGCCACATTCCATCACAGATGTGCGGTCTGAAAAGTTGATGATGAATTTGCTGATGATGCTGTTGTTGAACAATGGCAATAATGGATAAGTTAAAACAAGCCTAAGCATCCGCATGAGTGCTCATATGAGAATCGAGAGCACTCTGCTGATTAAACGATCGACCACACTCGACACAGTGAAGAGCTGCCAAAGTGGATTGAGTTTGGGGATTGAATGTTTTCTAAAATAGGTTTCTTTTGGAATAGCCATTGAATCTTGATGATCTTGATCTTAATCTTGAGCCATCTTGATATTTTTTTGCTAACCTCATCAGCGTGCAGCTTCTCGTGAGCCCAAACTTGAGTTCTCGTGGTCCCCCGAAACCGCATTGAGCACACTTGAAGAAACGGATTTCACCTAGAAATACTAGTCACTAGGCTTAGCTTGGCTTAGCTTTAGCTCAAGTCTTTTAAGTCTATGACTGCTAGGACTAGACTAGAGTGCTAGACTGTAGACTAGACTGCTAGACTAGACTAGACTACTAGGACTAGACTAGACTATAAATTAGGGACTAGACTGCTAGACTAGACTAGACTACTAGACTAGACTAGACTCCTGGACTAGACTACTACCCAAACCAAGTCTAACAATTCACAATATTCTTTTATTTTAAAAAGCTATTCAAGCTATTCAAAAGTTGATATGTTAATTTCCAGCTAACCCACTGTGAACAAGCATATGAGCAAGAAGATCCTGCACACGATCATTTGACACAAAAGGACAATGAGCACAATTGTAAAGCGGCATCTAAAGAATTCTTTTCAAATTTGAATTCTAATTTTTTACAACTCACATGAAAATGATTCTGTCTAACATGTTCATAGAAATTCTTGCTCCATTTGCACCCGAAATCGCACATCTGGCAGACGAAAATCGTGTTCCGGTTGAGCTGGGCACAGTGACGAGCTGTTTCCTAAAAAATGATATTAAGTTAATAAATTTCATAAATCAAGTTAATATCTAAATTTGCAATCACCTCTTCGCTATTGCTAGCGAAACGACAATATGGACAAGGATTAGAACCGGCCGGATCGGACACTTCTTCACCGTCATCAACCTGTAAAGAAATGATTGGCAAAGAATCTGGAAGCAGAATTGAACCCTCGATCTTCCGCTTATCAGGCGGATTCTCTGCCACTGAGCTATCAGTGCCTTCTTTACCCAAGAAGAAATAGGAAAGCCAAGAAAGAGATAGAAGAGAAAGGAAGGAAGAGAAAGGAAGAGAAAGGAAGAGAAAGAAAGGAAGAGAAAGAAGAGAAAGAAGAGAAAGGAAGGAAGAGAAAGGAAGAGAAAGGAAGAGAAAGGAAGAGAAAGGAAGAGAAAGGAAGAGAAAGGAAGAGAAAGGAAGAGAAAGGAAGAGAAAGGAAGAGAAAGGAAGAGAAAGGAAGAGAAAGGAAGAGAAAGAAAAGAGAAAGGAAGAGAAAGGAAAGAAGAGAAAGGAAGAGAAAAGGAAGAGAAAGGAAGAGAAAGGAAGAGAAAGGAAGAGAAAGGAAGAGAAAGGAAGAGAAAGGAAGAGAAAGGAAGAGAAAAGGAAGAGAAGGGAAGAGAAAGAAAGAGAAAAGGAAGAGAAAGAAGAGAAAGAGAAAGGAAGAGAAAGAAAGGAAGAGAAAGAAGAGAAAGGAAGGAAGAGAAAGGAAGAGAAAGGAAGGAAGAGAAAGGAAGAGAAAGGAAGAGAAAGGAAGAGAAAGGAAGAGAAAGGAAGAGAAAGGAAGAGAAAGGAAGAGAAAGGAAGAGAAAGAAAGGAAGAGAAAGAAGAGAAAGAAGAGAAAGGAAGGAAGAGAAAGGAAGAGAAAGGAAGAGAAAGGAAGAGAAAGGAAGAGAAAGAAAGGAAGAGAAAGAAGAGAAAGGAAGGAAGAGAAAGAAGAGAAAGAAAGGAAGAAAGAGAAGTCGCAAGAAATGTAAGCTGGCAGATAGTCTAGCCAGAAGCTGGAGAGCACCGGTTCTAGTAAGATCCATGACCAGGCTTAAGCTTAAGTCTGGCTTCTAGGTGCGGACCCGGGATAATTGGCTAATACAATTATTATTGTATTAGCCAATTATCCTGGCTATACTATTTCTAGATTAGTTACCGAATCTGGATCCAATAAATCATCATCAGTATAGGTGATGATGCCAGTCAAAATACTTCCATCCGCATAAACTCCATCCAGCTCATCTTCGTCAAAAGCGGCAATGTCAACTAGAGGATTTGAATGAAATAATGTACAAAATCTCTTATGAAAATTCAAATCTAGCCATAGAACAAAAAAAAAGAGATCATGTTTTTGCCTAGTAATGAATGAGAATAGCTTCTTCAACCAACCATCATCATCAGTGATTCGTTTTGGCGGCCGACCACGACGTTTGAAGCCTTTATGTTTTCTAAGAAAAGCTTTTACAATTCAATATTTCATTTGACAATATATAAACTTTTAAATTGCTTCTTTAAATTGCTTCTTTAACTAGTTAACCATCAAAATGATTTCTTAAACGTAAAATTATTTCAGTTAAACGTAAAATTTAGTGTTCACAAGTAACAGGATACTTGGTCAATTGATTGTAGGTTCAAAAAAACCGATTGTACAGGTTTTTGATCAGTTTTGATCAGTTTTTGATCGGTTTTCGAACAATTTTCATCTCAAAATCGATTTACCGAAAATCAAAAACATGCTTTTTGATATTTTCCTTTCGATTCCCCTTTTCACAAACCGTATTTTGTGAAGCAATCGATTCCGTGCCTCATCCGCATCACTGCCGGACGTTGCTCCAATATCATCACGATCTTTCAACGAAATACGCAGCTCCTCAACTTTGTTCCACTCCTTCACCAACATATTGAGCACCGTTTAGCTGAAAAAACACGATCGTTTTATGAAGTTGAAGTTGAAGATTTGAGATTTTAAAAAAGAACTTAATGATTGCTCATAAATGGTGCTTATGGGGGTGGGACAAATGCGACCTTTTTTTGCGCACCTGGACATTTGCGCACCTCTTTTGCTGGAAAAGGCCTTAGGAAAGGTCGTAGAGCTTCAAAAATGTTTTATAGAAGGGATCGATGCGTAGATTCGAATTTCGACAAATCAGACCTCGCTGACACGTCAAATTTGGGCTAAAAGGCAAAAAACTGCGGAAAAGCATTAAGTTGCGTAGTTTTTGCCTTTTAGCCCAAATTTGACTTGTCAGCGAGGTCTGATTTGTCGAAACTCGGAATCTACGCATACGATTCCCTTCTACAAAAACATTTTTGAAGCTCTACGACCTTTCCTAAGGCCTTTTCCAACAAAAAGAGGTGCGCAAATGTCCAGGGTGCGCAAAAAAAAGGTCCCATTTGTCCCACCCTGTAATTATAAATGCAAATCCATCCATTTTTTCCACTCAAAATCTTTCATTTTTCCTTCTTTTTGCAAGAAAAATGAAAAATGCAAAATTTAGTGTAATAGAAAGTGTGGGTTTTAATTTCTAAGCGCAAAGTACATCATGAAAAATATTCGATGAACTTACAATTTCTTCGGTGGTCGGATGTCCTTCTACAGGGACGTCCATTGAGTCATCCTCAGAGCCGTATAAGACTTCTAAAACATATTAATATTAAAAAGTTGTTATAAACCTCAAATAATAAGAATCATATGTTATATACTCGACTGAATAATTTAGAAAAAAGATCAACTCCCACCCTTCCTCGTCATCCAAATCACTGTAGCCTTCTTCATCATCCAACTCATCCATTTCCTAAAATATAGCTTTCCGTTTGATAATTTTCGATTTAAAACTTCAGTAACATTATTTTAATCGATATTTATTTACATTTAAGAGCTAATCTATTTGTTTTTTTTCCACTCACCACATCATTCTCATTTCCATTAGTCGCATGATGCTCAGGGAAAGCGGTGTTCGCTAAGAGATTCGCGTATTGCTCTTGATATTTGCTGGGCAGGAGACCAGAGCGAGATCTGTACAGTATTTTAAAGTTTAAAAATCTTTATGAGTAACAGATTTGAGTCAAGTCAAGTTTATCATTTATTTTTCACTAGAGTAAAAATTCTTCTAAGTACATCAGGTTTCAGAGCTTTGAAATTTGCTGAGCTGAGCTGTACAGTCGTACAATTTGCTGTACAGTCGACTCACTCTATAACGGAATGGAAGGGACTAAAAATTCTTAGTTTATATAGAGCTTTAGACTGTAAAGTCGACTCACTCTATAACGGAGCTCTATATAACGGAAAACTATATAACGGAATGAAATTTTGATCCCGCCCGACGCTAAGCTATAAAAACGGCACTCTATATAACGGAAAGCTTTCGGATTTTTGATTCCTTTCATTTCGTTATATAGAGACCCATACCTGGAAAAAGTCTCTTGATTCTCTTATTGATCGATACGTAAATTAGCCAAATTTAATGTATAGTATGAATTTTAAATTTAAAACTAATCCAAATTAGTTCAAGTATGGGCTTGCTTTGCTAGTGTTAAGCTTCACTTCACTAAAAGGCAAAATTTCTCAAGTAGAGAAGATTTGCTGACACTTACAACTCTGCTCTTCATTCTCTACTTTGACACTGGTATTATTTAGCATTAGTTTTCTCTAGTGACTAAAGAAAATACTTAAAAATGTTATGTTAATGTAAAAATAAAAATGTTCCCAATAAGGTTCCAATACGGTTCTTTTTAGGTCCAGTACGGTTCTCTTTAGGTCCAATACGGCTCAATAAGGTCCCAATACGGTTCTTTTTATATCCAATACGGTTCTAATACGGTTCCAATAGTTTAAATTCAAATCCACCCACAATTGTTGCATCATGAGCAAGCGACTCGGCATGCTTCGCAAGAACAACGATGCATAATCCAGAGAGAAACTCGATCGCCGTCTCCCTTACACTAAAATTATTTGTAGAAAATCTATTAAAATAATATTAAATCTTTAGTCTTAGACTTATTGAATTAATCCTTTAAAGGGAAAAGCACTTAAAAGCTTCGCTCAAACTGTGATTCACTCAACACTAACATTTGGCAACTGTACACCGGTGAGAAGTTGTCGAAAATGCAGCTCTCGTTTCTCGATGTCCTCGGAAATCCAGCCGAACAATGAGCCTAAGAGAGACATAGGTTTTCATTTCTTTTTCACCAAAAATAAAAAGATTTCATACACCCAAAGAAAGGAACACAGAGGCACAGAAGGCACACACTTCAAATGCACATCCGGCAAGATGACATTCACATATTTTGGCTCGTCAAGTAGTTTCGTCAACTGTGCGATCGTGTATTGGAGGATGTCGACCGACTCGAGCACACATCGATTGATATTCGCATCGAAGAACTCGCAAGCGGTCTAGAAATTTCGTTTTGTCGCCTAGAATCGAAAGCCTCATCCACCTAAAGACTAAAGCGAACGGCTTTTCAGACAAAGAAATTGATTCAATTTTCTACAAATTCATGCAAAAACATTTTTTCCCTGGATTCCAAGAGTCACGTGACCATAATCAACATCAATCCAAAATCACCCTTCAGCAAAACGAATTGGTAAAATTGTATTTGGTGGCGAGTTGTTTTATCGATATCACGTTCGCCGCATCCAGGTATCGATCCAAGTACTCACAGCAACAGCCCTTCAATTTTGTCCCCCCCTAAACTCGTCACATTGATTTGAGTCAGTTTTTGTTTTCCGGGGTACCAAGAAATTGTTCGCCAGGCTTTCAACAATTCGGTGACCGTTGATCGATCGATCACGATATTCCCACTCTTCATGTAATTGAGAAAGAGCTCGAAGGCGGCTGGGTTTGGGCGGTTTACTGTCACCTGAAAGCCAATAATATCGGTTCTCTACCGGTAATACAATAAAAAGTAGTAGCTCAATAGATACTTTATAAAGTTCTTAAAAGATTCCAGTCAATGGAAACCAAGCGTTTCAGCTATCTTTTGCGATCTCAATTCCGAAAAATTATCAAAATCTTACATGCTCTTTCGTGATTTTCCCATATCGAAAGGATTGAATCGAAATACGGACTGCAAGCGGCCAAAATATTCCGATGAGCGGTGAAGCGGCGATCTTTCACCTGAAATCCCACTTTTATCTTAAGCTCGAGCTTCGAATGAACCGTGATGAAGACATCGCAAAAACAGCCCAGTCTCCCGCTGATTTCCCGGCCTTTCCAGAACCTATTACAGATAGATTTTCGGAAATTCTTTGCGAACTACCGTTGTCCCATGTTGATCCGTAAAAGACATCGGATTCAAACCATTGCTTTCCACTGAAGCTACCAAGGCCATTACTAAAATTTTATTCAAATTATAGGCTTTTAACTGAAAACTATGGTAAGATACAAGTTTGTTAGAACCTTGAAAAATACCCCCCTCCGGGTTGTCTCTTTGTGCATAAATGCCTCTTCGTTTGTATCTTTTCGTGGTCTATGCCGAAGCCGATGACAAGAAAAGGAGCGTGAATTCCCAAGGGTTTTCCCCATCAACATTCTTTTGCATTCATGCATTTAGTACAATAGGAGGTTTTAAATTTTTTTACAAACTTTAAACTCGATTTTAGAAAAAACAGCACGGCGAATTGGGGTTTTCGGTTGAAAGTGAATACTACATAATATGAATGGAAATGAAATAAATAATTGAATGAATATACTCTACAGAACGGAGAACAGGAAAAACACCCACTTTGCAATTAAAAATGAGTTAAACCAAAGTACACTTATTTTTCTTCTTCTTCTTTTGCTGGAGTACTACTTGCGTAGCTTTCTCAAACACCTCACAGGTACCCTAAAATGACAATAGATTTAATGAAATTAAATATACCATTTGCTTGTAGTGACTATTTGAAAAGATATAAAAACTTGAAACTCACATCCTTATTCTTAGCTGAGCATTCCAAATAAGCGTAGGCACCAATTTGATCGGCAATGGCTTTTCCCTTGCTCGGGTTTGACTGGCTCTTGCTTCATCTTCTGAAGTTCCCGAATGGTGATTGGATCATTTCCCAAATCCTTCTTGTTTCCAACCAAAATGATAGGCACATTGGGGCAGAAGTGTCGAACCTGAACAAAAAAACATTTTAACAGTTAAAACAGGTCGTCCAAGTTTCTAAAAACTTTATCAAAGCTCCAATTAAGCCGTGACACTTTTGAATATTGAATTCATCATGGGAAAAAGAAAGTCTTGTTTCCTGTTGCAAGCCACTAATTTGTTTTCGTAATCAAACAGACCTATCCTATACTTTACAATTAGTATACTTTCTGCTCATCCCATTATTTTAGTTTTTATGAATCCACGAGAAATTTTGACCGAATATTTTTTAGTGGACATCACTTTTCCCTGGGGTTATCTTTCATTAGAAAATCTGTTCTCGATTTAGCCACAACGTTCCCATATTTGTTTGTTTTCTTTCAAGCAAAGTATCACATCATTTTAGAATTTCCAAAATCTGGCTATAAAATGTCCTCACAAATCCACCAAATTTTCGTGGTTAAAGAAAAACGTTTTCCGGGAAGCCGTCTTAACCCCTCCGGCTGCCCTTCGGGGAGCTCTCAGGAAATGAGGCGCGCGCCAAGCAAGTGAGCCGACAGGGAAGAAGGGGACGCCGAATGGCGGAAAAAGAAAGAGGGCGTCCTTTTAGGAAGGGGACAGATGGGACTCGGATCGATAGAACGTGTGGGGCTGCGGCATCGTCTACCGACTACCAGGGAGCACGCTAGTCGTCCACACAACCCCTGATGAACCCATTTCAAGGAAAGTATTTGACTTAAAAGCTCCCGTCTTCATTAGCTTAATGTAAACAATGATCGAGGCCGAAGCACGCGCTCGTCGAAAATAATTGATTGGCAGCATTGTGTAAGAGACAATTAATAAAATACACACGAGTTTTCTGGTTGATTCTAGCTGTTACAAATTAATTTAAAAACCACACCCTCAGGCGTCCTTTTTCGGGAATGTTCTCCGCGAGGGAGTCCCGGGCGAATCAATGCTAAAGCACATCAAAATGACATCCGTATCCGGGTATAGAGTGGTCACAGCCGGTCGTAAGTCTTCTTGTCCAGCAGTATCCCCATAGAGCAAGTTCAACCTGAAAACATTGTTAATCTTGCTTTTTAGTATTGATAAAAACTAGCATTCGAAACTTTTAATATTAGCCCTAATCTCAATTCCGGGATTTTAATCCCTAGTTTCGAAATGAAAAGGACCGCGTGTGTGCCCTGAGTAATCGATATCGTGTTCCTAGGATTGTCCTCTCCACTCTTCTATCAGCAATCATAAAAACACCCATTCCTGTTTTCCATCCACTTCAATGTCAGCAGCGCTAATTTTCGAACACAGTTGGCACGTACACGTCTCAGGGGATTGATTCTTTGCTGAAGACGATGAAGACACGTTTTACCCCATAAGCCCCACCGTCTCCAACAATCACAAGCTAAATATAGAAGTTATTAAAGGGAGTTTACACAAAGTCTTTTGACCTTCTTCCTAATGGCAGCCATCTTGCCCTATCTGCAGCTGAGTCCCAAAAACCTTTTGTGATCAGCCTGAAAAAGTAAAATAAAATCGAATTGAAACGAAAAGAGAACATCGAATGATTAGGAGGAAGTGTAAAGAAAACAATCCATTTCTTCGTTATTTCATTCAAAGGTGACTCATGGCCGCATCGCACCGTTTTCGGATTGAAAAGAACGTGAAGGCGGATTTGAAAGGGTGGCTGGTCGATGCAGGAGTCAGATGCACGATGGGAGAGCAAGCATTTAAGGGCGCGTCAAGGTCGAAGCCGTTTTTGGAGGCGATGCGCAACCAGAAGAAGGATCGCGTGTGCGTGGTAACCGATATCGCGTTCTTAGGATTGTCCTCTCCCCTCTTTTCGCTAGGATCTTTTGCTTATCCCGAT